AAAATTTATGTATATATACTTTTTTTCTTCTTATCCCCAAGAACTTTTGCCTCCTCTGATGTGGTAGAAACCTCCAAAAATGAACTGGAGAGATGCCTAAGATGTGCAGAGTGGTCTCTTACACAAAGATTACCATACTTGGTGCTCCTCATCCCCACCTCTTCCATGCCACAGCTGATAAAACCATGGATTAATATCCGGCCCCAAAGCAGCCCAAGGTGGGCCAGTGATCCATAAAGAGGCCCACATAAGGGCTCTTCCCAGTAGGGGCACTCACACCAGAGGATGACTGACGAATCAATCAAAGCCCCTATTCTAGCAAGAGAGGCTCTAACAGACACTGCAGGTTAGCTGTCCCCTAAGCATTCCCAACCCCCTTCTCCACTGCCTGCCTCAACCTCAGAGAAAAGAACTAGCTTCTTTTGTAGCTATAACAAAAACAAAAACAAAAAACTAGGAGTAGCCAAATGACCCTATTCTGACTTACTGACATAAATGAACAGCTGCTCAGTAAAGTTTCTGGGAAAGCTATAGCTTTTCCTGATAAAAAGGGATAAACACATTCCTTTGTCCTTCACTCATAGCCCTTTTCCCATCTTGCAATCATAAGGCAACATGTTTGACATCAGAGGTCAACACACTAAGAATGGTGGAGTGGAAACTTATAGCAAGCTTGGGTCCCTGAAAACTCTGCTGGACAGCTGAACCAATGCCAGCAACTGCTCCCCTCCAAAAGTTTTGTTATATGAAAACAAAAAACAACCTATTTATGTCATTGTAGTTGAGTTCTCTGTTACTTGCAGCCAAAAGCATTCCTAACTGATACAATCACTTTGCTAGTAACAGAATAGCAGGGGAGAACAGACTACTGGATCTGCCATTGGATCACGAGGGCAAATGCCAGACATCTATCTGGTTTACCACAGGAAACAACACTACAGTTCTCCAAGAGGCCTTGCATTTCTTTAGAGGGAGTTCTCTGCATTTCTTTAGAGGGAGTTCTCTGCATTTCTTTAGAGGGAGTTCTCTCTTCCTCACTTGCCTTTGGGGTCAGAGAAAGCTGGATTCTAGTTCTGGATTCACCATTTACTAGCTGTGTAACCTTCAGCAAGTTACTTAACCTAAGCCTCAGTTTCCTCATCTGCAAAATGGGAACAGTAGTAGCTGTACCTTCATCTCATAGGATTGTTACAAGAATTAGATAATGCATGGAAACCACTTAGTGTGTAACATGAAGCAAACACCCGGTAAGTATCGGTGATGATAAATCCTTTTAACTGAGGTAACCTGAGCATGGTCCAAGGGGGCTGGGAATGCTCAGGGGACAACTAACCTACAGGTTGTGATTAACAGTGCTAGCTTGGGAGCCAGTCTGCCTGGGTTTAGTCCAGTTCCTCTCTCCTCAAACCACCACCACACACTCCATACTCCCTACGCTCTGCTGAGAACCTTGTTTCTTATTTCACTGAGAAAAAGGAGGTATTCAAAAGAAAACTTTCACATGCTCTCCCCACCAAATCTACTTCCCTTCCTACATGTATACCCTTCACTTTCCTTCCCATGTTATTAATACACACACCACTAGTTGCTGTCAAGTTTACCCTGATTCATGGCGACCCCATGTGAGAGTAGAACTGTGCTCCATAGAGTTTTCAA